TCACAATTTGGTTTCAGAATGGGTATGTCAACAGAAGACGCTGTGGGTAGCTTGGTTGAGTTTGTCACAGAAAAACTTGACAGGAAAAAAAAGTGCCTTGGTGTCTTCCTCGATCTTGCCAAGGCATTTGATACCGTCTCAATTCCTATACTTGTGGACAAATTGGAGCGAATTGGAATAAGAGACTCAGCCCTGCTTATTTTTAAAGATTTCCTTAGTGGTCGGGTGCAAAGGGTTAAGATTAATAATTATATTAGTTCCGACGCAAATGTAACTTTTGGAGTTCCGCAGGGCAGTATTCTTGGTCCAAGTCTTTTTCTTATTTACATAAACGACCTATGTAATTTGTCCCTAACTAGTTGCAGGTTGTTTACCTATGCCGATGATACGGCTATAGTTTTTTATGGGGACACCTGGACCGAGATACAAAATATTGCCGAAAGCGGACTGCAGAAGGTGGCTAGATGGCTCAGGAAAATTTACTTACTTTAAATATTTCTAAAACTTCGTATATTCAGTTCCAAACTATTAATTCCCATATGACTGATATTAATCTTAAAATACACATATGTGTCTCTGAGCGAAATTGTACTTGCATTAATATAACAAAATCCAATACCATTAAATACCTCGGTATCGAATTAGATAATAAATTGAGTTGGCTACCTCACATTGAGATTATAACGGCACGCACGCGAAAACTAATCTGGACATTCAAAAAATTACGTTATGCCGCGGAATTTGAACTACTCCGCACTGTTTACTTTGCCTTAGTAAAATCGGTTATTGGATACTGCGTGAGCGTGTGGGGTGGAGCGTGCAAGTCACATCTAATTCAGCTTGAAAGAGCCCACAGATCTTTACTAAAAGTAATGACTTTCAAACCCTTCAGATTTTCAACCACACTTTTATATAAACAGTGTGAGCTCCTCAGTGTTAGACAGTTATTCGTCTTTAATATAATAGCCAAACAACATGTCCATACCCCTTATAACCCAGAGGTTTGCAGTAACAAACGCTGTATACCAAATGTACTCCCCACAGCAAAATTCCGTACTACCTTCGCAAGGCGACAACGAGCATATCTCTCAGTCTTTCTATATAATAAAATAAACAAAAATTAAATTTCTACCCTCTTTCACTACATGACTGCAAATCAATTGTTAAGACTTGGCTTTTGTCCTTAAATTATGAGGAAACAGAAGATCTATTTAACTAACATGCTACAATAATGTTTTAGTTATTTTGATTCATTAATTATGTGTATAATTTATATATTTATACTAGTGTCACATATACCCATATGTAAAATGTATAATTATGTATATTTATGTATTATGTATATTTATGTATTTTAGTATTTTATGTGTATGTACCTATTTTATTACCTATTATATTCATTGTAATTTATACTGAAACATTTTTTTCAATATATGTTATTTTTGTTTAAGTATATTATGTGTAACAGGATAATTAGATGTAATATCTGGAATTTACAAATGTCTATAAAAAGTATTGTCTTGTAAAATTTTGAATAAGCTCTCTTGACACTTGTTACGAATTATATTGGGAGAAGCCACTGACTCCTGAGATACAGGCACTAAAGCCTAGTTTAGGTGTCAGAGTCTTCATAGGATTTCTGTAATTACAAATATGTCAATAAAGATTATTATTATTATATTATTATTATAATAGTTTTCCATTGAATTGCATAAATTAAATAAAAATACATACGATCAAACGATATGAGATTAATAGTGCGGTAATTAATGCGTCCACGCAGATTTAGATCCAAGTGAAAGTAAAATTGTTTTATCGCTTCCAGCCGAAGTTCAGTTAGAGTTTAATTATCTTGCTAATATTATTTTCCTTAATATTTCCTTGAAGAGTAATGTTGCTTTAGTGGTTTATGCATGCGACTCTCATCCCTGAGGTCGTAGGTTCGAACCCCGGCTGGGCATCAATGGACTTTCTGTCTATGTGCGCATTTTAAACTCGCTCGAACAGTAAAGGATAAGATCGTAAGGAAACCGGCACGTCTCAAACCCAATAAGTCTAAGTTTTTGTTGTTGTTATATTTCCTATATAAACAAGGTTTACAATGCCTAGGTAAACAAGTACACTTATGAACGTCAGAAAAGAAGTTAAATTAATTCTAAATTTACATTTATTACCAGTACGCAAGTCAAGGGCGTAGAGCGGGCAAGAAGAACTGGCAAGAAACTTTCCGCCACTCTTTATAACCGCTAAGTTTTGAGTCATACAAATTATTTGAACTGGAGCAAATCAATCCCAAGGATTAGGATCATTTTTTAAGTATTCGTCAAATTGATTGTGAATGAACGTGTGTGCACCGAAACGATTTCGATTAATTTAGCCGTTAATTAATTCTGGTGCGTTTAAAATTTTAATTGTATAAACTAATGTAATTTAGATCAAGGAGAAAGTGAGTTTAGAAATTTTGACTTTGAATGACAATTAGTTTTTCGAAAATATACTTTTTCCTAATCCTATCCGACAGAATGCTATTCCACCCATTTCGATTTGATGTCTGGTGTTCCAATTACCCTGACATGAAAAGTAGAAGACACGGAATAAAATTATTTATATTTTATACCAGATAAGAATGTAAACTCAAAATGTTCACGCTATTTATTTTGCTTTCTGGAATCTATATATTATTGGTAATGAAAGTGAACTAATTCATTTTTAGTGTTTTAACCATTAGTCGTTTTTTATTATCACAAATCTCTGTAATGTATTTTGTCTTCGAGGCATGTTTCTGAACACGACCAAAAGACTGTTCCGACTGTACCAGAATATCTGGGGTGCACATTGTGGTGGCCACGGATACCGAAGTAGCTGTCCTACGGTCAGTATAGAAAATAGATGATCCATACGATTTAATATAATATTAATCCAGTGCCGCTATAACCCCTTATGGGATCATAGCCTCACGTTTCAGCATAATAAATACTAGAGCACTTATATGTTAAGATACTTAAGAAGTTGCTTATATTTTTCATTAAAAAAAAAAAAATAATAACTATGTAATAATATTTAATGTGTGTAATTGATAGAAGCCCTCGATTTTTGTGTCTTAAACATGCCCGTTTCATGCTCATTCACACTAAAGAATCCATTGATTCTAACACTCAGAATTGAGAGTCGTGCCTCAATATTGTACGATATATTTATATATTGAGAAATTATATGTGGAAAGGGATTCTTCTACTTGGATCATCATGCTCATCATGCTTAGATTATTAAATCAATCTGTCATTTGAACGGTAGCTGTCAGTGTCCTACACATTTTACATATAAATTAAAAGTAATCATTATTATACATTTACAAGTACACTTGATCAATTAATAACAAGCTTAAATGACAGAATATAACGGAAAAAGATGTCAACAGCTAATTGAGACTCGGCGTTAGACACGTGACATATTATAACACTTCCTAAGATGACCATTGGGTCAAAGTATTTGTTGGACAATATGGTGTGACTTGCGAATTTTATGTAATAACATAAAATGTTGTAACTGGTTATATGTGGGTTACGCCTAGATTTATGTAAGTCTGTAACTATGTACAAGAAAATTGTTGACCGACTTAAAAAACCCGAAAACTTTCGTCTACGTGGATACGTCCTGATTCGCAGAGAAATCTATCGACTTGTTTGATGAAAAAAGGCACCGCACTTGCGAGCATTCTGGCAATGGCAGTGACCATGGGCGATGGTATCACTTAACATGAGGTGAGCCTCCTGCCCGTTTTCCCATGTAAAAAACAAATATATCATGGAAAAAGAACCCTTAAAGAAGTTTAAAATTACTTTGTGATACGTAATAATAAATATTATTGTAATAAACATTTTTGTCTATTTTGATGTCGGTTATATTCTTAATGGAAGTTATTATTTGAAAGATATGTTGACATACTTATACAATAACTTATTATAAAATTAATTTGCTTCGATCAGTTTCAAAATGGGTTTCCAACGAAACATTAATTAGATTATTATTAGGGTTAGACCCCTAACTTTCACCCCTCTACGATCAACCCCTATTTTTTATTATAAATGATATACATGGCAAAATGACGTTTGCCGGATCAGGTAGTAAGTTTATATATTTTAGCCCAGACTAATGCAGAGTTTATGGATTTCAAACAACTAGTCTTCTTTCTAATAATATGTAGCTGGGTTTTGTTTTTTAGTCAAAGCGCCATCTGCAGCTTAAATGTTGTATTAAATTAAGTAATTGAATGTTTTATTGACAGTTTTTGACGAAGTGTCGTGTTGGTCGACTAGGTGGCGCTGAAGCAAATAAAATTAACGTGTTAGTAGTTCGTTTTATTAACTAGGTAGTAAGTTATGCACTTACTACTTGTAGCTTTTAAATTATACTCAATACTTTTAATCAGGAATAATAAGGATAATTACACTGAATATTATTTATGATGGCACTATACTTGCTATTGTTTTTTCTACAACTATGTATTATCATGACTTTATTATGCTCAAAATATTATGTACTAGACATTTTTTTTAAATATTTTAAGTAGGCATTGAAGAATTGTATAAAATCAGTAAAGTAGTTTTTAATTAATCGTTAGAACACACAAAAATACAAAACATTACTCTTTTTAATATAGATGTATTGTTTTATAAAAACACTTGATTTGTTAAAATCTTTAATTACTTAACATCAATATTAAATATTTACAATTAACACTGTACCAATATTCATAATACTACTAATATTTTTACATTTGTTAACGGTACCTATAATACAGCCTTTTAACCTACGTTGAGCAATAATGTTACTTTCACATGAGATTTTATATTTACATAAATTTTAACTTTGTAAGCATTGCACGGGACTAGATACCTATTAAATGTTAATAACATAGCCTTGTAACATAATTAAGTATGATCACGTAATATACAATGACCCCATTTTATTTCCTACGCAAAACTAGTTCGCAATTTGTGTCATCTTTCTATTGCACACATTGATCTATTTTCAAGAAGTTGCTCTAATCTCGAACACTGTTCTCTACGTTTTCTTTTTTTAGCTTTACCCAGCCAGGTTTCTTTGATTAAATCGCTGCCTTTCTCAGCAATCATTATAACAGGCGCATTTATGTTGCCATTCGTTACGGCAGGCATTATGCTGGCGTCTATGACACGTAGGCCCTCGACACCGTAAACCCTTAGTTTAGGGTCTACTACAGCCATTGGATCTGATTCTGGACCCATTTTTGCAGAACATGATAAGTGATAAATTGTCATTGTATATTGTCGTATGTAGCAATCCCAGTATTCGTCGGTATATAGCGGAAGGTGTTTACAGTTAGGGGCAGGTTTGTTGTTAAACCTAGCACCCAATCGCTTCATAGCTTTCGTTTCAGCCACAGCGAGAGCAGCCTTAACCCCCTCTCTGAGAACTCCGACATCATCTGGATGTGTCAAATAGTTGTGGTACATCAGTGGGTAGTCTAGGGGATTTTTTGAGCGTAGCTTTATAAATCCACGACTCTTTGGTCGGAGCATCATGGGAAATATACCGAAAACATCCTTGTTTGTAATATGCCCAAATACTTCATCGTAAAATTCATCAGTTAAACTATGCGCCTTCTTCACTTGTGATCCGCCATCAGATGGTGTGGACGCTGAGGTCATCATAAACTCTATATCGGGCCAGTCGTCTGATGCGTTTGCATATTTTGTGTTAATAAAAGAAACAACTTCTAATCCAATACTAGAAGTAAGCGGTCCGTCTTCGGAAACGGCGTAACGTAACGCCGAATTTATATTCACAAGTCTATTCATAACTAAACTGATTGGGTAGTCCACCTGGAACACAATCCCACCAACAGCAATGTGATCTTGAAGGTTTCTCCCAACCCCGGGAGAATCGTAGATCACATCAATACCAACTTCTTTAAGATGTTCAGCAGGGCCGACTCCCGATAACATTAAGAGTTGTGGTGACGCTATCGCTCCAGCTGATAGTATGACCTCTCGTTTTGCGTAAACGACTTGCTTCTTATTATCTCGTATAAATTCAACACCGTACGCACGTTTTCTGTCTTTGTCTATGAGTACTTTGGTAACGTGGGAAAATAGAGCAATATGTAGGTTTTGACGTAATCTAACAGGCCTGAGAAAGGCCTTGGCGGTAGAGCATCTAGAACCTCTTCGCATTGTGAATTGGTACCAACCATAGCCAGTTTGTTGAGCGCCATTCACATCGATTATGTCATACCCCATTTCTTCTCCCGCTTGAAGAAATGATGCCCCGATAGGAGTATTGTAGGGTGCATCTTGTACAGATAGGTAACCGCCTGAAAATAATAATTGTTTAAAGTTTGTAGGTTATATGAGTTTTAAAATTCATTAAAAAAAATTGGTTAATACAACGATTGGGAGACCATGTTTGCATACCTTTGCAGACGGGGATAAAATATTTTTATGAATATCAGAGACACAGCGGTTTATTATTTGACGATAATTTATACTCACCAACAGCATGATGCTTTTTATCTTTAGCCAAATACGGGTTTCTCTGGTCTTCAGATTTCTTGAAGTAAGGTAAGACGTCTTTGTAACCCCAACCAGGGTTGCCAAAAGACTCCCATTGATCAAAGTCCCTCTTGTTTCCACGAATGTAGAGCATTGTATTGAGTACAGAAGATCCTCCCAAGACTTTTCCTTTTGTCCAGGAACAGCGTTTGTCGATCATAGCTTGGCAGGCGGAATCTTGTGGCTGTGTCCTGAAAATTTAAGATGATTTATGTAATTGCTTGGTTTCGTAAGTTGTTTTAGATTCGTCAAAGATAAACAAAATAAGTAAAATGATGTTGTTAAAATAATTGTCCATAATGCTGCATGATTGTTGGTGAACTATAATATCATCCATTTAAGTTATTAGAAAATTGGTTTCAATGTACACTATAAGTTTCTTTAACATATTAATATGTAATCGTATGGTAAATAAAAGGATAGGAGGCTCTCCTGGTGTCAAGTGTTACCACCGCCCATAGACACTCTCTACCTCACTCTAAGAATTGATTCGCTTTCTTGAAGTACGCTAAGTCAAATTGGTTCGGAAATACTTTTATATGGCGTAGAGAACTTTCTTGCTCTTTTAATAAATCTACTTTGGAACAGGTATCTTACGAGACTTGACTTAAGTAACTGTTAGTTCCACGAGAAAAGGTTAAAGTTCTTACCGATATTTCCAATCCAGTTTACTCTTATGCAAATACAAAGATAGTAACGGCACATCGCTTATATCGGTTTCGTGACCTCCTGCCTCCAGCAGAAGAACATTCCAACCTTCAACTTCAGATAGTCTGTTAGCCACCACAGCACCAGCCGAGCCTCCCCCAACCACGATGAAGTCGTATTCCTCTCTGAGGTATTTTTGGTTGAAGGGTCGATTCTCAGGGTCAAGAAGGTCGTAGTTGAAATAGGCCATCGCTGCTAACATTGCGGGGATGAAAGTCAGCTTGCTGAGACCGCCTATGGTTAGGGCGGCCTTTGCAGCTGTTGAGGCAGCTGTTAGGATGCCCATGTTTAGCGTTTCATCCTGTAATTTAGGAAAGCAAAAGAATTAAGTTAATGTACGATTTTATTTAGTGTCTCGCTTATATTTTTAAAAATCTGTAAATTTTTTATCTACACTAATATTATAAAAAGGAACGATTTGATTGTTTGTAGTAATAAGGCTCCAAAACTACTGGACCGATTTGAAAAATAATTTCACCATCAGAATAGCCCATTATCCCTGATGAATTGGCTATGAAATATCGATCAAAATATCCGTTTGAAAACTTCGATAATGTAACCCAATATGTGAAAAAATACAAATTAAAATACCTATATCACGTTTGATGCGGAAACTATCGACTATTGAGCAATGTGATCAACAAAATCACCAATGTAATACCTGAACAGCTATCTTTTGGTGACCTGTTTTTTAGATAAGTAAGAAATATATTAAATTAATTATAATTTATAAGTTAAACATCTATCCTTTCCCTTATGCTTACAGCAAAAATCAAAATTAAAAAATAGGTAAATAAAATATTAAACACAAGAAATATGCATTTCAACATTATGTCTGTCGTTTTACTGTCAAAGTTCACATGTAGATTTTGCAGTCATTATAACCAAACAATAGTTACCATATTAAAACAACCTCTGCTTTCGTAATATACAAAAAGTCATGTAATTAACAGTATTACGTTTATAACCTTTGGTTTTGCAATTTTTTGACAGTTTTGAAGTGACTGACAAGTTTTAAATATGATTTGCCAATTATTCAACTTCAAAATCAAAAACCATTTATTCATTTAGATAACACAATGTACATTTATGAACGCCAAAAATAAATACATATTACCATTAACATTTACTGCCAGTTCTCAAATCAAGGGCGTCGATCGGAAGAGAAGAACTGGTAATAAACTCTCCGCCGCTCTTTTTAATCGCCAAGTTTTTTGTTTTACACAATGTTTAACTACTACAAAAGCTAGAATTAAATATGTTTCATTAAACCAATAGTAAAGTATTGGGTAAAAATATTTACAATAAATAAATATTTTTGCTCTCAAACATCGCACATGTTAAAATGAGGAACAATCTCATACTTATGAAAATATATTATAGAAAGAATATACACACGTGGAAATGACATGAGTACTTAAGAAGGCGTAGCGCTAATAGCAATACATGCCACTTCCTCACAATCGAGTAGCTCGCAATACCGCAGCACACAACTCACGAAGGGACTCTTGTATCGAAGAAGTCGCATGGTTCTTATGTAGAACAATTAATTCAGTTATACGGTGTAACTCAGTTTGAAAGGTTTTATATTATGGTGGATATATAAATGATAAATAGTATTAGTTTTATATTTTATTTCTAATATACGTGAATTATGAGGGCAAAAGTATAGCTAAAAATATCTACCTAGTTAGTAGCTAGTCTAGGTTACAAAATAACGAACGATGAAGGCCTCCAATGCCGCCACGTTGATCTAACCCTATTTATTCTATATGTACTTTCTCGATAATTGATTTGAATAGTTCTAGGAGTTACAGCGTTTAACCAAACCACCTAATCCAACACGGGTTTAACAATTTCTGTTCTTTCAATTGTATAGACTTATTAGACGTCTGTGTATACTATGTAATTTTTGTTATATATACTATTATAATTCTATGGTCATAGATACAATAATAAGTTCATTCATATAACGAGTGTTTCATATTTTAATAGTGCCATCAAGATTTCTTAATAATTTAATCCTGTAAAGTAATGAATTTGCATTTATCATATCTGATCTATGTATGGCCACAGAATTATATCCGGTTTAATTTTTTTTTATTATTATATAATATTAGACATCGCAGCCCACCCACTTTTAGTGGGCGCGTTGCCGGCCTTTGAAGGAGGAGGACACTCTAACTTTATATAGTTGGAGGACGTATCTCAAGGGAAGACCCTCACCGGGAGTCGATTCCACAGTTCGCTAGTTCTCAAGACAAAGTGCCTTGTGAAACGGACTGTGGAAGACTTCCAGCCATCAAGGGTAATGTGGATGAAATTTTGAAATGATACGGCTCGTACGGTGTTGAAACGAAACAAAAGCCTTCCTTTCATTATTTATACGCATCTGTTATGGTTTATGACTATTAGATGACGCTTAAATCGTCAACAAGTTTATATCGCAAGTGTATTACATATTCAAAATGTCAGTGGTTGTACAATACGGAAGCCGCGCAGGTGAAATAAAAGTTTCATTTTTGCTTTATCGAATGTGTCATGATGCCAAGGTTAATTTGACACTGCTATGCTCACCAAATTGGTACACCAGTTTAATACTGCGTTGTGTTCGTTATTGGTAGGTATAATTGACAGTTTAAACGAAGAAAAGATACTAACTAGACTAAGACCAGTGGCGTAACAATAGGGTGGCAGGGCTGGCAAAATGCCACGGGCCCCCGACCCAACAGGGCCCCTGACCAAGATATATAAAATTCTATGGATGAATGTGAAGTCTCCAATTCGCATTGGGCTAGCGTGGGGACTACAGACCCTTTCGCCTAAGAGAGGAAGCCTATGGCCATTACTGGGACATATACAACATGTAATTGAGTACGCTGAATATCTCGAAGTTTAAGAAGATGAATGTTTATGAAGATTAAACTGAGTACAACGTGACGATTTTTACTGATAGGGCCCCATTAAAAGAATTGGCCACGGGCCCCAGATGGTATAGTTACGCCACTGACTAAGACTAAGGCTTTGTTAATAAAAATAAATAAATGACAGTGGTCTGTAAGAGATCTTTAATAAATAAATAAACACACAACCTTTTTAGGTCTGGGCTTCAGATTTCTGTAACTGTTTTATGGTCATTTGTCAATGTAATAGGCAGGTAGGTGATCAGCATTCTGTGACTGACACACGCCGTCGACTTATTGGGTCTCAGGCTTTCCTCACGTTGTTTTTCCTTCACCGTTCGAGCGAATGTTAAATGCGCAGATAGAAAAATTGTCCACTGGTGCACAGCCGGGGATCGAACATATGACCTCAGGGATGAGAGTTCTTTTTATAAAATTGATTGCATTAAGAACTTTCATACAAATACACAAATTAATATAAGTTACTTGGGCTAAACACTACGAGTATATGGCATTCTTTGATTTGTAAAAAAGTTTTTAGAAGTAAAATTTTAACTTTTTAGCAATATATATATCATTTGTATATATATATAGTTTTATACAATAATTACTCAGAATCAATACAAATACCGTTTTTGTACTCACTATCATATGTATATATTGTATACGCTGTGGCTTTTCAAAGAGTTCTATGTTCGAGTGATTAAAAAAATCAAATTCACGTAGGTACATATTGATCGGACTATGGATATGTCCTTGAGACTTGGTGCCGTGTGTCATTACGTTTACACAACATTTGCGGTGGTGTACTATTTTCAATATATAAGAGATATACTCATATTATCTTTGAAGTGGATTGTATATTAGATTTTTATAATTAATTATAATTTTTTACATAATTATAATTATATATTGTTTAAGCAAGAACTATGACTTTCGTATGTCAAAAAAGTTTTGTATTTTGACATACAGGAGTCATAGCTTGCGTCATTACTCTGAATCTAACAGATCTGCATTTATCAATACCGTTATAGTATAGACTTACAAAATTTCTATATTAAAACGGTATTCATAAATAAGCACGGAAGGGCATTGCAGGCACCGCAAGTAGTGTTGCCCAAATGCAAGACCAAGACGAGACTTAGACCAGTCTTGGTATTGTCTTGCGTCAATACACCTGGTCTTGGTCTTGGTATTGGTCTTGATCTTGCAGCAAGAGTCTTGCAAGTCTCGCGAGACTTGCAAATACCTATTAGCCTATTACTATTTGTGGGGGCTTGCGGGCTATCCTGGAGCATTCACCAATGTACAATGTTCATCAACCAATAATAGCAGGCAGGCTACAGGCAGAGATTGAGAGATTAGCAGATTTCATTACAGTGTGCGTAGGTAGGTTTTTTAGGCAATTTGTCATACTCGTGACTGGCGCGCTTTGCTAAGTAGGTACTGTCATTAAAGTATGTGTAAGTAAGAAACGATGTAGGTACCTACTACAACAAAATTGTATTCCTTAGAAAAATTATCGTCGTACCTACACGACGATTATTTTTATTTATTTAGTAAATCATCTCTGAAGACAATAGTCGCTACTAGAGTAGGTACGATAGAAGTTGATAAACCGACACTGCAAATCTCGATTTTTGGAAGTGTGTGATTTTAAAACAAAATGCGTAAAGAAATATGACGTCGCTCATATTTGGAGCTTTTCCACGTTTTAAGTTTGTTAAAATCACCCACTTCCAATTTTGCAGTGCAATGTCCTTTAAAAAGGTATAATAGGTAATAATAATATAATCTAGGTATATTTTTATTACTTACAATTTTTTTTATAAAATCTACCTATCCTTACGACTACATTCTTCCTTGCGAGAACAACATAATCTATTTGCGTCCGTTCATAGCACCCAGAAACTTATTTTATTCTTTAGAACATGGGCAGTGGCGGCGACCTTTGACATGAAAGCGACGGCGGCAACACAAAGTCTAGAAGCGGACTAAATTTTTACCTATTTTGGTGGGATTGTCAATGTTGACAACCCCACAATGTCAATGTTGGCACAGAAAAATAAAGTTAACACAACGTTTATCCACTTTTTAATAACTCGGTATCCACGATAGAATATTTTTTCTACTTATTTCCTAAGTACTCAGTCTAAATATCTTTTTCATAATTTTTGTTTTTCAATAATTTGTTGTGTGTAATTGAATGGTAAACTCTAAATCTTACTAGAGAGCTTTTTTAAAATAAACTTATTGAAAGCACTGACATGGCATATACACTTTTCAATCTTGCTGCTCACATTTTAGTACCTAAGTATCACTCACTATCTATCATTTACCGATATTAACAATGATTATTTCGAAATCAAAATATTCGCAATTC